AAATGGACTTGTCTGGAACGAGTTCCATTTCCGGTCTATCGTCCCCAAAGAGTCCGTCGCGGACGCCACAACGATCGAGGCGAGGAGTCCGATGGAGTCCGACTGGCCAAGGACTGCACGGAATCACCACCAGTTACTATTGGAAATTGACAATAAACTTACTGCTGGCGCCGCAGAGAACGGAGGCATCACTTGTTTGGATTGTTTGGCGTTGGCTTGTCATAGCGCCAGCGCATCGCATAGTGCTAACAGCGCAGTGGAAACCTTCAATTTGCCAGCCGTCTTGCCTATCTATGAAAGTGCGTGCAACTTCGCTCGCAGCTCTGTTGCCGCGAAATGTTCTCTGTGCTGTGACACGTATGCCATTTCCCTGATTGTGGCGACCGCCGGCCGCGGCTCTGCAGCGGGCTGGCTGTGATGGCGACACACTGATATTCCCGTCTGCATTGGCCTGTCGTACCGAGCCGCTGCAGAATGTCAATGCCCGGGACAGCACGGTCCCAGGTGTTACATGCGGCTCATTTCAGCGACCCGCTGCGGTTGGCAGGGTCTCTGTTTTGGTTCACTGTTGAGCGCCGATCGGGCGGCTGTGTGCAGTATCTGTGTCGTACGCTGCCGGATTGTGTGGGTGGAAGAGCTTATAAGGGTCGCTGGCGCTGCTGCCGAGCAAGAGATAACTGGCTGCTGAATCCCCTGGAAATGGTCAAAGGCGATGCTTTGCATATTGGAACCTCGCAAAACATCTTTTACCTATGAAGTTTTATTCCGCGAAGTAGTTTGGAGAACACCAAGACCTAATGTGCGCTAAATTGTCAGATGTTTTTGTATGTGATTAAATTTACGTCACAATATCCACACCCGAGTAATCCAGCTCTAGCTAAATGTACCCAGCCTATAAAGGACGAAAGAAGTTCATAAGATTCGCTTTCAAAATACACAGTTCCTTTATATTTTATCCTCAATTTTCCAAGAAAAGTTTCTATTATCTCCATCAATCCACTCATATCTCACGAAAGTCTCTCTTATTTCGGTTTCCGGTCCGGTTACCCACGGCTGGATAAAAGAATTCTCGCCTCTCTCCGGGGCCCTATCAGGCCGTGGAAGAGTGAGCACCGAGGTAATCACCTCGGACTGTGCCCCGGGGGTGCTGTTGGCGGCGCCGGAGAGCGCCATCCGCGTCCGTTTGAGAAGACCGAGCGCACTATAAACGCCCCCCGCGCCAGTGAAACTGTCTGGAGGCCACGGGTGTGGACTGTGGCACCCCGGTATCATCCACGGGTGTTACAGGATGGGGCATCCGTGGACCAGCACGGCACGGCACTGATCCCATCGTCCACGGGTGTCCACGTGTGCCAGGGTGAGTCTGATATCACACGCGGCTGTGTAAAGGTGTGAAAGCATTGAACAACGTAGCAGTCAGCAATGTGTTCCACATTCAAAGATGTCCAGCGACGAAAGACTAGCTGACGCTGACTGTTGTGATGTGCAGGCATGCTCACATTTCCGACGCCTCAGAGTCTTCTTTACTCGCCGGTTTAGTTCAGTCCAGCCCTCAGCCCTGCGCTCTAGGTGCTTTCTGCTTTGAAGCCACAAAATAAGCAGCGAGAAATGAAGTTGTTGCCATATTTGAGGCGCGTCAGGTGCATTATTGCAAACCTGAAGTGGTCATCTTGTCATGACATTAAAAACGTTGTGTTTATGAAGTCGGTCTTGTGTGCTGAAGGTACTTGCTCTGAACGGGCTCATTTATACATAATGAGGTACACATTTGTGCCATAGTTCTAGTCTAACGGTGTACGTAAAGGTGTAAAGGTGTAACGGTGTGTTCTAGTAGTCCAACGGTGTATATAATACCCCGCGCCGGACCGGTGCTCCGCGACTTCCGCGCCGGGCCGGGGGGGGGGAGGTCTGATGTCTGAACACCCCCGACTAACTCGGCTCCTGGGCCACGTAGCGACACGCAGCAAGCGGCATTCGAAAGAACGTCAAAAATAATGACGAAAACACTTCAGTCATTTTTTGGGTCAGGTCAAAGGTCAGGTCGCCAGAGGTCATCAAATGTAGTCCATTTCAACAATTTTGGAAACTACCAACGGCTAACTCGGGGACCAATAGAGCTACAGCGCCGCAGAAAAGCGCATTCGATAACCCTTTTACATGTCTTTCTGAATAGCCATCTCAGATTTAACCTCAGTTCAATGGTTTAGCCTCCAGAGGGCAACAACTCTAAAAATAGCAATTTTCACGAAAAAAAAAAACTTTTTTGGTAATACCTTTTGATTCAAACAAGCCACGACATTACTTTTGCCAGCATTGTGTTCCTCTCGTCGAAACGCATCGAATGAACCACTCATTGACCTCGAAAGGTCATTTTGCGTTAGGCGGCACGGGCGGACATCGATAGCAGCGCCTCTATCGGTCACTCGGAAAAGCTGGGCTGTAGGCGACGAAATACCGGCTGAGTTGTCACACGTTGAATAGGTTTATAGCCATCCGTCTTGTGAAAAAGTTGAACTTTTGCCTTTAATATTTCTACAGGCAATTTTATAAGTGTCTTCACATGGATTACAAACCCGTTTAGATTCTTGTATTCACTTCAAGCCTTTCCTATTGTTCTTGATGATGCGGGAACTATTTATAATTAGTGTTTCTAGCTTAGTAAAAGAACATACTGTGCAAACGATGAAAAAAGCATAAATGGAAGATTTTAAATGCAATTTTCTCTAACAATTAATGGTAAATTCTCTACATATCAAAGAAAAGGTGCATGCTGGCTGATAATTTAAAGTTCTTGGGGCCAGTTGTTTTCTTCTTTTCTTACGTCGCCCCAATGGCCGCGAATACACTTGTGATAACGCCTATCGGGAAAATTTGACATCTGGTCAAGGTCATGACCTGACCAGAAAGGGTCATAGTCGATCCGTATCGTCGAGCTGAATACATCTGACGTGTTTTCATCGCTCTAGCACGTCTCTATCAAAATATAACAAAACAATATAACAAAAAACTGTTGGTGACCGTTCATGACCTGAGATGACCTCAGGGGCCTACAAAGGGGTCACAGGTGCATTTTTCCGATTCAGTGTGTCATGTTTACCCATGAACCGATGTTTTAGGGGGTTTTGAACACCATTCGTCCAAAAGAGGCGCATTTATTTTTCTCCCATTGACTTATGATGGAGAGGTCGCAAAATTGACCTGACCTTAGGTCACCGATATCAAATTTCCGAGATATGCATGTTATTCTTAGCATTGCTGAACGTTTCAAGGCGTTAGCTCAGTCGGTGTAGCTATAACGAGGATTGAAGCTTTTTCTGAGGTGAGGTCACTTGACGTGACCTTGTGACCTAACCTTGAGAGCCCTGGGTCTGAATTTGCACATGTGCGGAAACGATGTAAGAACAGGTGTACCCAAAACGGCGGCGCTGCGCACCGCCGTTTTTTAGATATTCGCGAAAAACCTGAAGGGGAGGCGTGAGAACGCCTTCCCCCCACCCCCACCCTCCCCGCCAGCACGGCGCGGGAGCATACAATATTTACGTGGGGCGCATTATCTTGGTACTGCGAGTTGCTCCCTGCTACTCCAAGGCCTTCTACAAGGTACTACTCCCAGCAGGACTTGCTCGAGTTGAGCCCAGGCTGTGAAGCAGCGACATCTATAGTCGCCAGGCAGCGATGCTGTAAGATAACGGGCTGTAGAGGGCAGCGTAGTGCCTTTTTCCACACCGACACCCGAAGACCGATTAGTTATCTACAACAATACCTATGCATTCTGTTCTGATGTGCTTACTGCTTACGCATGTTTGATGACGTCTTACCATGCTATTCCATGCTATTGTTTCATTAAAACCTTTGCATTATGTATGACAATTGACAAACGAATGGTCAGCTATAGAAACAATGGTCATTGTGACTGACTGTCATTGTCATTGGTTGAATCTGACTGTTGTTTACGTACTTATTTGGCGATTGAAGCTTATTTATCGCAAAACTTTGTTGGACTTATTTAGACTTGGATTAAACTTAGGCATTTGGATAAGCCGTATCCGTCAGTATCAGACAAGTTGATAATGTATAAAGATGGAGGTGTAATCGATCTTTGAATGACCGTTGTCTGCGCAAAAGAAGATCATAGCGAATGTAAGGGATATTCATGATGAGAAATTAATCCATCTTACGTTTTTTTTTTACATCACGATCAGTTAGGCCCACAGGGCCATACAGTTTGTGCTGGATAGAAGATAACAGTGAGCTAAGCTGAACCCTATTGGCTCGGAAAGGTTTCCACAGATTCCTACCAGCACAGTGATTGACAGGCCACGTTATCCCCATATCCCCAATACCGTGCAACAAGTTCGCGTCATTTGGTGACGTGCACGGTGCTGACGTCGGCAGAGAGTGACAGACAGGTGACGGCGGCTGACCTCTGACCCCGCGAGCGAGGAGGACCTCCCTGGTGACTGCCTGTCCGATCGACACAGGGCGACGAGGTGACAGCTGGTCGGCCTGTCAACAACGGCAGCAGCAGCAGCAGCAGCAGTCAGCGACAACAGCGGCAGAGCCAGTGGCAGCGGCAGTGGCAGCAGTTGGTCAGCACTTACGCCTTAGGTCAGTGTCAGCGGCTGCGGCAGCGGCAGCGCCAGTGGACGTGGCTAAGCGCGGAACAGCAGCAGAGTCACAAGACACAAGGTCAGTACTCAGTACCCGTACGCATCTTTGATCGTCCACTTGAAAGGTGACTTTTCAAATGGAAGCCGCTGGAACCTTCAGTGATAGCACCATTCATTTGGCGTTTGCATGATTACCGATTTTGTAATTCAGGAATGCCTTCTCTCCTTTATTATTGCACCGACTTTACTGTGGTTTCTCCCATCGGCTTTCTCAACAGCCTCTCTAGTCTCATTTTTGTCTATGAAAGCGGCTCCTGTATTTCAATAGCACCTATGAAGTGGACTGTATAAACCACTCGCCTATCTGCCCGGTATTTTCAGATCCGTAGACAGAGCGCCATGGCCCGACCTTGTATGAATATTGGACCCAGGAACCATATGAGGCTGTTGACGGCGATCATTTTATGTAAGTCAAAGATGATTCCGACATGCATCGAAACAGTGTTTTTGCTGATGATTACAAAGGTGAAAGCGAAATGCAATTGCTTTGCCTTTTTGTCTTTCTTGAACCAATGACATTGACTGTGATATAACAAACTTCGACAACATGTAATGGTCTTAGAATAAGTGAAGCATCTTCTAGAAAGGTTTTAGGATCGATAATTTTTTTTTTGCACACGTAGGCGAAACATGAGGACAAAGGTGAGGACAAAGTAAGTCATTATTAGGCAACAGTGAGACAGTGTAGCTAAACCACCAACTCATCGTCAATTTTCCCAGATATCTGTCTGCTGAGTCGGGTGCTTGGAGCCCCCGATGATGTAGAGGAGGAGGTAAAAGACGCCTCCGCTCAAAACGAAATGGTTAGGAAGGAAGCCAGAAAATGGCGACAAACTTCAACTGCACTCAACGAACTATTACTCTATGGGTACAACGCCAGGCTGCTGTTGAACGCCACACTCGCTCATCTGGATACATGTGAGTTGTTTTTCTGGAGTTTTGTGTCCATGTTGTAAATACAAAGGCATCGATATAACCCCGTCAGACCTCCTGTATGGTTACGTCTATATCAACTTATCCCGCTTTTTTCTTTGTTTAGCCGCACATGATAGCTTTCTGCTTCCTATGCATAGTTGTATGTGACTGAACTATACCTCTTCAAATGTTGTAGCATACAACAGGTATTTGTGGCCTACTTGTAGGTATATGTGATATGACAATGTTGATTCCTGCCGTCTCAGACGCTGCGGACCGGGTAATGACCGCGCCTGTGCCACCCTGTATGACCGGAGCCTGTCGAACCCCTGGTGTGTCGGATGACCCGACCGTCTTCGCCGATCGACATGAGGTCACGTTCGCAACGACAAACGATAAATACGCTGGTGAGCTACAACAGTCTTGGTGTTTATCTTCCGGACCTAAACTTTAATATAATTTTGAAACAATTGCATGCAGCTTAATCGTATAGACAAAATCGGTTGTTTGAAGGCGAAATAGAAAAATATTCATGTGATGATTTTTTTTTAAATGTGAATATGAGGAGCAGGCTTTAGATATTGTGGGCAAAACACCCCGCAATGAAGCATTGTGCCTCATTTATGATTCTATTATTATTTGTAACTGTCCATCACAAAATAACTATCAAGATTTCCTAGGATACAAATGGTTTTTCAAGTAGGTATAGCTTTAAGTACATACATGCATACGGAAAGAGATGCTTTGATAACAAGAATATAATAGTATTATTTCACCAGTACCATACTAACTCTGTCGCTTGTGCTATCGGCAGAGTTCTGTCCGTCCCGAAGCGGGGATTTCCGCCACCCCACGGACCGCCAGAAGTTCTACCGATGCAACGAGTTTTATTACACATTAGAAGACTGCGGGGACGGCTTTTACTTTGACTCCACCAGACGCTTCTGTTTGCCTTACGCGAAAGGTATGTGGAAAGTGGACGAAAATGCATAGGTATATTTTGAATAATTTTCAATTTTCAGCCAACTGGTATATGTAACATAAAACCAGTGAAGACGTATTGGTAGAGCGCAACCTGACGATTATTTTTTGTTTTACCCTCATAATTCTTGAATTAATCCTTTATTGCAGCTGCGACATCGGTGGAACGGGATATGGAAGCGCTACTGCCCAAGGAAGAAACTGACACAGGCACAAATGGGACTGTAACTACAATGCACGGAACAGGTCAGTAAAGAAGTCATACGCACAGTTCATGCAATAGGATCAGCGGAAGAAAGTTGGGAGATAGCATCATTTATTTGAATGGAGTGCTTCGAAAAATATTTGTCCCCACTGATCAATTACCTTCCGCGGCTAAATCCTAGCAGTATTTATAAGTATTTGTAAAGAATCGTTTATCTGTGAGTCTGGATATGGGACAAAGAAGGCGATGCGCTTTACAAACTGATGTTCGGCGAACGTCCAGTACAAACCATGCAATGTGCATTTACTTGCTCATATTTCTGCGGTAACTGTACGATAGCGTTGGCCTGGTCGGACCGGAATTTACACGAAGAGATGAATGTCTTGGCCTGTGCTTAATTGTGCGTCCAATCAACAATGGCCTGACCCAAACTAAGCCCATCCCGCTGTATGATTGTGCATCATGGAGGTCAAGAAATGATTAGCACAGACCTGACACAACCCGTCCCGGGCAGAGCTGGCCAACTTACAGAAAATTTGTCAACGCGACCT